GGGGGGGGGACCCCAGAACTCCTCAACTGGTAATCACTGCCACCCAAATGTGTTTTGCGGCAAGCATGCTCCTCAATTGGTAAATGAAGTATTAAGTCCACTAATAATGGGTTAAAGTTTCCTCTCTATATAAGGAGTAATTAAAACAATAACATTCAGACAAAAATGCCTGAAAAATACTTAAAGTGAAACTTGAAACTAAAAAAACGTAATATATTGCTAGTGCTTAGTGTGGCATATTTACAGATTTATTTTCGAAACTAAGGAGCAATAAAGAAAGCTTAACAATATTGTACACCATAGGGCCATTAACAGAGGTCAATATGGTCTTATTTCTAAGAAATAAACGATTTAATGTTATGCTTTTTTTGGCTGATAACCAATTGAGGTGGTGGAGATTACCAATTGAGGAGCGCGCTTGCCGCAAAACACATTTGGGGGTGATTACCATTAAGGAGTTTTGGGGTCACCCCCTCACCCTACAGGGGTTTTCGGATTAGTAGGGAACTACAGAGCGTCCCATATCATATTAGATTATCTCCAATCTTTAACACCTAAATATGCACATTATACTAAAAAAATCTAGCATTTTCTGCAAAAAAAAAAATTCTATTAGCCTTATTAAATTTTTCAAAATGATTCATTCTTCTTAAATTTTCTGATTTGTCCCCCAAATCGTAATTTAGACCCATTGACGCGGTCTAATTTGATGTGGGACACCCTGTACTATAATATAGCCATAGTGCTCACACCCTTGCCTGTCAGCTAGCCACTAATGCTCTGCCCAGAAATTGTCTAACCCGACCTAACTCTAATTAATACACATATATTTGAACTATTTTTTTGGTTTATTTTGAACTATTCATTTGACCTTTTTTTTTGGTGTGCATTTGAAATATTTTTGTCTTTGAACTATTTCTTTAATTTTTGTTTTGTTTGAACTATCATTAGAACTATCTAAATGTTCATTTGCAATATTTCATTTGAAAACTATGTTTTTGTTCAGTTGAACTATTTTATGTTCATTTCAAATATTTCTTGAAAATTGCTTAAACTTTATCTTTAATTGTATGAACTAATTTTATAAATTTTAACAAAATTGAAAAAAACTGAATTTATAGAAAAGCAGTTCAAATGAGCAATTGTATAATGTGTTCATTTAAACTATTGGATATGACGTCATGTCAGTAGTTCAAATAAAAAATAGTTAAAACGAAAAATATTTCAAACGAACAATATATAGTTCAAAACTTCAAATAGCGGAAGTTCAAAAAAAGACATTCTAAACTATTCACCAAATGTCATGTTTCGCGGGACACCCTGTATCCACTACTGTAGTTGGCTAGGTGGCGTATTTTTCGACCTACACATATCCGCTATACTCCACTTCTGACCTACGCCAAATCCGCTATACAACACATCCGACCTACTAGCACGTGGTTTTACAGCTGCGATATGGACATGTGGCCGCAGCGCCCGGCCCCCTAGCCTGTCCTAGCCGCGGCGCTCGGCCCCCTAGCCTGT